CAAACAGTTTGCTACAGGACACAATTAAATCAAAGTGTGATTATACCATTTAATTTGAATTAATAGTTTGCTATTATATACAATATTCCCTATAAAAAATAACCTCTCTACATGATAAAAATATAAATAAAGTAATGCATATATATTATTCTTCTTAGAGCAACTTTCACATATAGCAAACACAAAATTCATATTTGTATGCTATAGCAAAGTTTGCATAATTGCGCTCCATAGCAAATATATATTTGCGTTTTTGTATAAAGTGAGAGAGGCGAGTGAGAGAGCGAGATCTGGGAGAGGGGAACGAAAATATATGTATATATACAATTTTCACGCATTTGATACATTTGCGTTTTTGTATAAAGTGAGAGAGGCGAGTGAGAGAACAAACATAAATTATACATTATACAAACATAAAACTAGGCAGGGGAATATTTTTATTGTATAATTATAAGTGTATAGGACGAATATATATGTATTTGCATGTGTATATACAATTTTCTCTCGCTTTATACAAACAGAAACACAATTTATACACTTCTGTTGTATAAAGCGAGAGAGGCGAGCACAGAGGGAGTGAGCGAGAGAGGAGAGTGGCGAGCGAGAGTTTGAGGGAGAGAGGCGCTGACAAACAGTTTGCTACATGATACAATTAAATCAAAGTGTGATTATACCATTTAATTTGAATTAATAGTTTGCCATTATGTACAATTTTCCCATTTTAAAAATATTAAACTCTATGCCTATTTAGGAAAAAATACATACAAAATACTCAACAAGTATAGATTATTTTAAACATTTGCAATATACAACAATAATATCATTCAATTATTCTTCTTAAATTAAAATGTGGATCATATATTCTGAAAGTATAACAACACATGTTGAAGTTTCGTATTAAATCGAAATATTTGTCTACATTGACAATTTCATTATGCTGTTATAATCAAGAAAATCTTAGACATGAAAATAAAATAAAATACCCAAACACTAATCTATAAAATTTTTAAAAAATTGGTATGATTTTGTGTTCCTTCAAATTATATTTATATTTGCTCGTCTTAACTTGATAAAATTGATAAATATAGTAAAATATTTAATGATTACCTTAAAAGTTTACATTTCATTTTATTTATTGATTTACCTTAAAAGTTTAGATTTCATTTTATTTAATGATGTATAGATTTCATTCTATTAATTGATTTAACTTAAAATTGTAAATTTTATTTTATTTAATGATTTACCTTAAAAGTTTTTATTTTATTTTATTTACCAATTTAACTTAAAATTAGTCTAGATTTTGGTATGCTATATTAAGCATAAAATTAATTGTATTCCCTATTTTTACTATGATGAAAAGATCACTTTCCCATATAATATGGAAAGATAATTAATGCAATGAATTTTTTTATGTATATAAATAGTTGTGACATCTCCCTTCTTTCAAGTATCATTTCTCATAAAAGATTTCATCAATAATTTTTAAACTATTTTGCTAATAAAGTTAGTCATGGAGAATAAGAAGAGTAGAGGACGCCAAAAGATACCAATGAAAAAAATAGAAAAACAAGATGACCTATATGCTAGCTTTTCAAAGCGTCGTCTAAGTTTACACAAAAAAGCTAGCGATCTCGTTTTTGAATGCGATGTCGACATTGGAATGATATATTTTTCTCCTAAAGGTAATCCTTTCTCATTTTTTCATCCAAATGTTGATGCTGTTGTTTCTCGTTTTCAGAATTTCGATATGGAATTCAGTGAAAGTGCTCTTCTGATCACGGCTGGTAACCGAGATAAAGTGAATGAACTCAAAAACAGGCTTGATGAACTTGATATCATAGAAGACATTGCAATTACTAAGAAAAAATCATATGATGACGTGATTGAAGCTAGAAAGAGAGGTTGGTGGGAGTCGATTGAGCAACTTAATGCATATGAAGTAACCAAGTTTGAAGCTTGGATGGATACTACTAATTTTAACATGCAGAATCGCTTGAATGAATTGAAAAATGGAGCTTCGTCCTCATAATTGAAATGTGAAGGAAATATTGGTGAAAACCCTAGAAAGTTTATATTTACATTATTGAGATGTTTATTTTTGTTTTTAGTTTATTTTATTTCAGTGTTTCTACATTCCTGTACTTGCTATGATTAATATAATAATATTTGATATAATTAGTAAAAAAAATTAATCTCATACGTTTATTAGCCGGTACGTTCTTATACATGTAGATTTAATATTTGAAGAAAGAGTTTGGTGATTCTTAAAATTAAGTCTTGGAATTTGTATTTTATCGGCAATTGATGTAAAGTTAAATTCTTAATAGAAGATTGACAATAATTTTTGTAACAAAGCTTTCAACACTTCACAATAGCTTTTTGTCAACAAAAGTCGGTATTTATTTTTCATTCGGTATCCCATACTCATATTAGAGCCCAAGTAATTTGAACTCGTACTGCATAAAGCCCATTCAGTTAAAAGCAATCTCTATCAAAGATTTTTTTTTCATACCCAAAACTCTAAATCGAAACCTCTAGATGCTTATTTTTTTTTATATATGCACCGATGACACATTAAGAATAATTTTGGAACAATGTAATGTTTTCCCCATATTTTTTAAACTCGGTACTCAGTTAAACTACATCACATAAATTGGGACCGGACCCGAGTAGAAAATCTCAAATCTTATTTTGATTTAAAGAATCCCATTTCTAATATGACCCATCTCATGTTACCTGGCAAATCCACAACTAGGATGTGACATCTTAAAAATATTACATTATCCAAAAATAATGTAATTTCAAGATTCATAGTTCAAAACTGAGAAAGGGAAAACAATGAAATAATTCTTATGTGACGGCACATCTTCTTCCATAATTAATTACCCCCCCAAAAAAAAAAAAAAAAAGGTTATGTTGGTCAATTGATATCAATTATCACTTTTTAGAACCTGAAAGAAGATGTTATTTTCACTTAAGAGAGAATCCAGGCTTTTTATATACACAATTTGACGATTTACCCTCATTCTTATACAAGGATTGTCGATGCTCTATGAGTTATATATATATATATATATATATATATATACATGGAGATAACAAAAAGGGGTTGATAGGAGCTTGTATAACTATAATCTTTAAGAAAGTCCCAGATTTCTTACAGAGGTCGCAAGAGAGGGTAATCCTCAAGAAGTTCTCGTTCTGATAATGTGTCGTTTTCGTTCTGTGGAGTCCATAGAATCTCAACTGCCTGCAACAAGTAAATGTCACAAAATTAAAAGCTAGAAGTGGTATAAAACTTGTTGCTTCTTGATGACCATTTCGCTCACTTACCAGTGTTCTACTGGAAGGAATAGAAGCAATCTTTTGCAACGCTTCTTTCAAGTCTCCACTTCCGTTAATAGTAGGCAATTTATAAACACCTTCAGCAGCTACCAAGATTGTAACCTGAAATTGCATACGAAGAAAAGAATGATTATCATGCAACAGATGGGGATCATTACTGTATCAAGTATAAATCCAATGGCGAAAATTGACTCCCGGAGAAAATGGTAACGATACAGCAACTAAAGAATAGAACAATAGACACATTGCAAGTATACATGCTCTAGAATATAATCTAATCTCTTAAAATAGTTCTCACCAAGCAAAGAAATGAGTATAATCTTCATGCAACATCTAACAAGATAAATTGGAAAGTGTACATGCACTGATGATGAAGACTGGAAGAGTGAAAGAACCAGCCATATTAAAGGAACAAAGAGATCACAATAGATAAGGTTAAAGATCTATATCTCTGTCCAATTCAGAAATGCCTATACAGAAAATCTTATAACACACCTTTTTATTATCTGACTTATTTGATTGGCAATCTACCTTTGGGGGGCTCAGGGATGGTGTTGTGGGGCTCTCGAAACTTAGCCTATAGACTTAAACCAACAACACACTAATATAAGACCTTCCAACATTCAGAAAGGCTTTTTATAGGGATAAGGTTCCACGCTTAGAAAAGCTTTCCCTAATGAAACTAAGAGAGGCCTCAAAAATCAAAGCAGGCCTTAGGTTGCAGGTTCAAGCCCCACACCATGCAAAGCGAAGCCCGGTATTTAAGTGGAGAAGGGTAGAGGGGCGGGCCCATTATCCACCGAGTTTAGAAGGCTATGATTGGTCCAAAGGGCAGGTCACAGACGGATTTCTCGGTTATCAAAAAAAAATCAAAGCAGGCCTTCACGTTCCCACAATTCGGCCTACAAATTCAAACTAAAAAAGGGCTATACAAGGCCATCCTTACCACTATGTATTCATTGCTAAATCCACTTGCCCTCTGGCTAGTAGAGCTTTTCCTTCTGATGTTGTTAACATTCACAAGTGTCTCTTCATCAAATTTACCACGTTCCTCAATGGAAAGTTGATTGAATCGATTCTCGCCTTCCTCCATGCTCCTCTTGACATCAACCTGCACGACAGACACACCTAATATACTCAGCAGGATGACAAAATTTGAGAAACTTCCCTGATATGAATTGGTGTGAAAATGCAATAGAGGAGAAAGACAACAACAAAACACAACAGCAAAAAAAAAAAAAAAACAGACTGAAGACTCTCCTAATATATGATGTTTGGCCCAAAAAATAAAGATCATGAAAGAAACAGCGACTTACTATTACCAATATTACCCAAATTATAGCAACGATCAGTTAAGATCTAAAATTAAGATGAAGCACTGTAAATACGAAGTCATGGGGATTATAAAAGCTATTTCATATAAGGATTCTTTTTATCGGTTAAAGTAAGTATTTTATTGATGTATAGCAAAAAAAAAAAAAAGCATTATGGAAGTGCTGATGAGAACTGTTCATATAAGGATTATGATTCTTTTTCACTAGGTATGCAACCAAAGCAAAAAATTGCAACCAGAAAAGAGAGGGATTTAAGTACCGTGAATTCTAATAAATGTATCACAATTGTGTTCAGCAGAAGGATTCTCTGAAGAAACAAAGCACCGATATGATGAAACTAGAAGGACCCAATCATGTTTACAATGTTTCACAAAGATGCAAGAGATGGATACAAATTGACTTCTGATAGAATCAATGGCTGTAGATGAAATAATTAGGAGCTCTTTCAGACTTTCACAATATCATAGTTTCTCCCAAATTTTGAGTTGACTACTGAATTTATCTGTCCAGAGACTAACAGAGTAAGGAACTTTATTCTACCTAGCCAACTATAGCATACTTCTAACTCATTAGGTTTTTAGTTCATCTAGAATCCTGAGACTTATAGATGTTTCTTAGTGTTCAAAGTTCATCAGGAGAAAACATCTTCTTCTTTTTTTGATGACAAGGGAAACCCGCAGCCGCTACCCTTTGGGTACACACATGGTAAAACCCCGCTCCATCAGGAGAAAACATCTGATAATTACTTGTTATAAAATTAAGGCAATAAGGCCCAAAGGAAGTTATTATATTCAGTGGCTCACTTAAAAATAAAATAAGAGGTTGAACTTCATAAATATTTAGTTTTCACTTCAGTTTTAATGAACACCAAGTATGGTGATATGGAAGTTTACGTATAAGGTCCATGCCTTTTTACCTTCGGATCAAAGTTAATTATTTTATTTCTGTTTGTAGCAAAAAAAAGTAGTTATATCATCAGAATCAAAGTAAATAAGTAAAAAAGTCACTCATTTAGTGTTGTGACCTGGATATTCTTTGCTGACTTTACTTCTGGTTTGAATTAGCTGACAGGATTTTGACATTTGTACATTGAAAGAACCTCCTCATGCAAATTAAGGACATGGACATGGCTTTTTAGCAGTTAAATGAGTATGAGAGGTTTTTAGTATCTCTTCCACAGAAAGGAGAGAAGGACTAGGAGACAGAAAGAGTCCAGTAAAGGGTATCCATTAAGAAACAAGAGGGTGCACAAGTCTCGTTGTTCTTTATCAAATTTTGAGCTCCACAACAATATACCAAGGCTTTATTGGACTTGGTAGCACATAGAAGAATGCATGACACCATTACTATATGAGGAGTCAAACCTTTTTTTAAATAACTTTTCCGTATTTGTGACATATAGTACTTTTCCTTTAATTTCTAATTAAGAATTTTTTATTTTTCAAAAACTAAGAATTGTTGTCAAAACTGAGGCCTATAACTAACCGTTGTACAAAGAATCCACTCATTCATTTTTTAAATGGAGAGAGTATAGAAGTGAAAAGGCAAACTGAAGTCAAACAGAGGTCCTAAACTTCACTTTAAAATGTCTTATGGATTTTAGCTGGTTTAAGAAGTAAAATATCATAAATTCATGTCTGACTCAATCAAATCAAGAGCAAAAATCAGAGAACAAAGAAAATTAATGTTATTGTAAATTTTGGATCATGATCCTGGCAAAAAAGGACAAAGGTTCATTATTTTGCCACTTTCTAATAGCACATAACCAGACATCAGAAAGCATATAAAAGAATTGCGTTCACTCACAGATGAATAAGCTGATATGCAATAACCAGGGTGCCGAAGCAAAGCTAGTGTCGTCTCTGCAACAATGAAAATCCTAAATCAATAAATCAATCAATGTAAGAAGAAATAATTCCACACAGATCAACAATAGAAAACCATATGCAAATTTTTAGTCTTTAGATTAGTAGGCGTAGGCCATTTAAACAAGGAACAAAAGGACTTTTTCATTGTTAACAAGAAAAAAAAGGCTGAAGCAAATGGTATAAAGGATATGTAAGAAAAAGCCGTCACTACAGAACCGTGGAGGGACACAAAGGTGTTTCCCATGACTGCGGGTTCGAGGATAAGGATAATAAAGATAAAATACATAAACTGTGAGTTTAGTCCGCCTAAAAAGAATGAAGTTGAGGTGAAACTAGAAGGGATTGTTGCATACATACAAATACTTCAGATGTCTATGCTTGGTCCATATATATATCCCCAAGATAAGTGTTTTAAAATACGAATTGTGAGATAGCTGGACTAGAAGTAATTACAAGAGATAGAAGGTGCAAGTAGCACACATAAAGGATACAAACAGAGACAACCCTTGAACAGAAGTAACAGTGACAACTTTCTTCAACAATAAGAAATTTTATAATGTTGATAGCATGAAGATGCAAATTAGTCATCACTCCTATATTTGCGCACATACTATAGTCTAGTAGATCACCACAAAACTATCTTTACCTGTCAGGACGAAGCTTAAACCCTCTGGTGTGGATGTATCTGCCACTTCAGCAATCCGGTTGAGATCCTTTTGAAGTGATCTACCCAACCCCAACAATCCAACCTTCAGAGAGAGGAGAAAAAAGGCAGTGAAACAGTAGAAAAGAAATTGTAAGCACAATGCAAATGCAAGGCAAACAAAATTTCTAAAAATGGAAATAACAGAGCACTATTACAAGAGTGATGCACACTGAATCAATAGAACCTAAGCTATCATAAGCAATGGCTGGGGAAAGTAAACAGTAGATACACTGAATCAGGTCAGAATGCAGATGTTCCATGATATCACTTCTTCACACTCAAACCCTTGTACTATCTGTGAAAAAGTCAACCTTGTTTGCAGTTTTTTCTTTCAGTCCCCTACTAAAATTTTAAGTGTCTAACATCTAAATTTTTCATTCAATCGACTCAACTCAATTGAGGATATTGTAGCAATTGGAAGTAAAGATATGGTCAACAGATTCACGATCAGTTTCAGAATGCACAATTTCAAGGAATGGCTTATGTACAGCTTGATATTTAGTGTGTCAACAACAGCCACGAGTGGAAGGAAGAAATTTAGCAATCAACAAATACAATAGATAGCATGACTGCACAAAAAAAACAAGGAAGGGCTACAAAGAACTTTTCTAAGATGGTTCATTCTAGATTTTATAATTTTCATCACATCTGAGTACTAACTAGGTGACCATAAACAGTACTATTTATTAGAATATAAAAATCAGACTAGAGTGATCCCTATATCTATGGTATCAGATACAACTTTCAAATTACATCCACTTATCAATCAGAATGAAGGGAGAAAAGTATCAAAAACTATAAGGGGTTCAATACCAAGAGGACTTATGGCCAATAGGATGCAGCATGCACGAGCAAATTCTAGGAATTCTATCAGAGAATGGTGATGGACAATCTATCTTACACACCAACGTAGAAGCATTTCAGAAAATAAGCCTGCTATTAAGATAATTTGACAATTGCAGGTAAACACCAAAGCATTTAGAAAAGATTATCCATAGCTATATTACACAAAGCATGGAAAGAATGAGACAGATGATGCAAACACTTCTATTGAACTTCACAGCATTTAGAACAGATTATCCATAGTTAAATTAATCACAATATTTAAAAAAGGGAAACAACCAGATGTATATTTAAGTCCATGCAGATTTATCAAAATTAGGAGCACTAAAATCATGTCCAAGCAGAGATGATACATCCACATCCTTATGGGCTGTGGATTTACTTTATTCCATCTGAAACTGATATCTGAGAGAATAGGGAATGGGAGGGTCTCAACACATGGTAAAGTCTTCAAATTTGGTAAAGGCCAGCATACTAGCAACAATTGCAGATACATATTTTTCAACTTCATTGACTATTAACATTATATCATTAATAACGTAACCAATAAACTTCCCAATGCAGAATTCCTAGGCTAATTGCTAATTCCCCGAATTTCTCCATAGAATTTCAGAGCAACCTTAAGCTCAAAACAACTTCACTATCTCAATCCAACTTATTTGATGGATGAAGTCATTGCACAGACAAGTAAACTGACCGATAGGCCAAATGTCAAGAACTTAAGCAACCAACTTTGACCACTAAACTTGGCAAGAATAATTAATAAGCTCACTTAAGCTATAACCAACCAAACAAAGCAAACCTCAAAGTAACCTATGTGGCTAGTACAATAATGTTTACCTGACACTGCTACATTCAATTTGTGGTTAAAAAAATAACGAGGCCTTTATGTATCAGTATATTACCTGTAGCTTGAGCACACTAGTTTTGTCAGTAGCAGTAAGTACACTGCCCTCAGACCGATCAGAGAGAAACCCAGAAACCATAATAAACGCAGCAAAGCCCATCATAACCAGAAACGCACTTGACCCAAAACCAACAGCTGGACCTACATAAACACCGCCCCCACTAAACCCAAAAGGGGAGGGCGCATAATACGGAGCTGAATACGAAAATCTAGGCTCTGCTGTCCTCATAGAATACCCCCTCGACGGAGACGAGCTCCGCGACGACGAGAAGGACTTGCCACCTATCCTCCCACCAGAAGCAGCCAATGCTGAATTCGGATCATACATCAACAACAACCCCACCAATACAGCCGCTACAGCTGGCTTCTGCAACGCTTTGAGAGCTTTCATGACACTTTTGACAACTATCTCAAATGGGTTTTCTTTATTCTTCATTTCCAACCCATTTCCATCATTAAAGCAGACATTTTTATGATTCTTGCTGAAACATTTGACGGTCAGCTTAGAGGGTTTGGAGAATTTTGAAGGTGTAAGCTTTTGATAATGGATTAAACGGGTATACTGTATTGGGTTTGGAGTATACAACAAAGGGTTCCATTTAAGGTTTGATTCAAGCAAGAAGGGTGCAGCAGCCATGATTGAGCTCTCTCTCAAAAGGGGGTGGCAATTGTTTTGAATTGCAAGGAAGGTAAAACTAAGAGATAATTTGTGTTGTTGGGAGTTAGAATTAGATATTATTGTGGGTTGAAAGAGAAGTGTGGAATGGTAACCATAAGGAGGAAATCTGGATGTGGACCAGGAAAGAAGAAAGAATGGTGAGTTAAAGAGAAACGTGTTTGGGGTTGGGAGGGTCTCAACGAGAGAACCTCATCTTCTTTCGATGGTCGGTCGTTTTCAGTTTACACTATGGATCAGATTGTCCGATTGCAAATTCGCATCCGAATGCGACTAATGTATGCAAATTTTTTTTAAAAAAAAATATTTGTGTTCGAGATCCACGTTAGAGCAAAATAAATTTTGGGAGTGGCGCTCCTAATGACATATTCTTTTGAACCAGAGTGAATTATGGAGATTTTATTATTATTTTATGAGGTTTTTTTTTTTATTACTTTACCTTTTCTATAAGAATAAGTTAAAAATAACCTTTAATTTTTTCAAAATATGTTTTTTTAGGGAGTGTGTCAATGCTCAATTAACTTAGGAATAATGGTTGATAGTTAGTTAGAGTTATGCATGTATCAGTGTTAGTAATGTAGGGAGTGTGCCATACTCAATTACTTCTATTATTTACTACTTTTTAATATGTGTGTTAGATTAATAGTGGATAATTACTGTTGAACATAATTAAATAGTATTATTTAATGAGGAGATTAGTTATTGCATATTCTATCACACATAAAATAATATATAGACTCCCTCATAACTTATACATGTATTAGTTACGACTCATATTAATTTTATATAAAAATAACTTATTTTCTATCTACCTGTCAAACGTCGTTTAAGTTATAGAAAAATTAATATATGAATTATTTGCTTCTTATTCAATACCAAACGATCCCATAGGATACAAATTGTATTTTCTTTTATTTGTGTTCTACTCATTTCTTTTCTTTTTCCAAAAAAATTACTCCTTTTGATTTTTTGCAATCAGAAGATGACATTTAATTATTTTTTTTATCTTACTTATATCTGTGATGAGTACTAAAAAGTTTATTTTGAGTTTTTTTGCCCACTATTATTTCTAATTATTTTATCAGTATAGTGTTGCTATAAATATCCATATTTTAATGGGCCAAATGAAGTAGGCATTAGTGTATGATTTGGGTGAAATAAAAAAAAACCTATTTTAAAATTGAAGTTGCATTTAATTTAAACATAGAATAAATTTGAAATTTTGATAATTTTTTTGAAAAAAGGCCTAAAAGTTATTTTATAATTAAATTAAAGTTTACTAAATAATTTCATAGTTCATGGTACTATAAAATGAAACTAAAATGTTTCTAGTGGGGTATTTATTTAAAGGAAATAGATGAATTAATAATTAGTAAAAATAATACAATCAAAATTAATGAATGATTTCGAAATAAAAATTAGATTGAAGACCCAGAAAGAAGTCGACCCGGACCATGACGCCCAATAACAAAAATTAGGGTTGTTTATCCTACTATATATATAATCTAGGGTTTTAGATCTTCTTCTTCCTCTCTCGCTGCATATTTCGCTACTGCCTTGTGAGTGTCTTTTTCTGCCTCACTCCTTGCCGTAAGAAGCAGCTAACCATGGCGGACAAGGCAGTCACTATTCGTACCCGCAAGTTCATGACCAACAGGCTTCTCGCCAGGAAGCAATTCGTAAGCTTTGCCCATTTTTTTCCCGATTATCTACTAATTTATCATTTTTTTTAGTCCAATCCCCTTTAAGATCTGAGTTAGGTCTTAAACTAGTAAAAGATATAATCTTGCATTTGTTTTCTTTGGAATCGATGAGTTAATCATCAAATTTCGAGATGGTGCATTGCTATAAATAATCCATGTTTAAAGTTTGGTCAATTTGGTACGCTTGCACTGGGTCGTGAATCGTGATTTGTATGATATTAGAAAATGTTGAGAAACCCCTAAATGTTTTTTTACTGGAAATGTTGGATAAACGAATTCGACAGGTGGAACTATAGAGTAATTGATAGTAAAGATTTATGCTCACCTAGCTAGTTTTGGATCGAGGCAATGTAGTAGTTAGTATTGCTACTTCCTATGGAATGGATCAAATGTGATGATGATAAATGCTTCTATTTTTTTTTGCAGATTATTGATGTACTTCATCCTGGAAGAGCCAATGTCTCAAAGGTATGCATTTGATTTTGATGATGTTTCTTGTGTGTTTTCTTTTAGTTTCGTGATGGGGAGGACCTGTTGGAATGTGGCTAATTAATGTTTATTCCATCTATGAAGGCTGAGCTGAAGGAGAAGTTGGCTAGGATGTATGAGGTGAAGGACACCAATGCTATTTTTGTTTTCAAGTTTCGCAATAGCGACCAGTTACACTTGTCCTTATAGGCCTAGTCACTAAGGACCTTTAGAGACGAGATTATCGGGCTGGTCGCTGATTCTTTTTCGCAACTAGTATATCACTGGTCCTTAAAATACTTTTAGGGACCATATATCTGGTACCTATTCGCACTTATTGAAATTGAAATTGTGGTCGTTAAATCATTTGTGACTAGTTTCTAACTGGTCCATAATTATTTTAGGACGACTTCTAAGCTGGTCTGTAAATCAGTTTGTGACCAGCTTGAAGCTGGTCTATAAATCAATTTTCGACCAGTTTGAAACTGGTCCGTAAATGAGTTGCGACCAATTTGTAGCTCGTCCAATTTACGAAAACTTTTAAGCTGGTCCCTAAATCATTTCGGGACCATTTTGAAGGTGGTCCATAAATCATTTCACAACCATTTAAAATTTCCTACCCAAAGGAATAAGGACTAACAATCTAGTCCTTAGATCACATATAATTTGCACCTAGAAAATATGATCATCAATATAAAGTTGTCACTTTCATATATAATATATAATGTAATTACAAAATAAGGTGAATATAAGTCATCTCACTAAGCTAGTAGCAATATTGTGATCATGAATCCTTAGCAAAAAAATTATATACTATCCTTAAACTATATATAATCCAAAGTTGCCTTCACCTTCCCAACAAAAAATGGCCAATCTACATGTTGTTTAACATCGAGTTTCTGCAAATTTTCAACATCCAAAATCTGTAAAAGAATTTAAACTTTCATTTAGAAAACCTATATATAAAAATAAACAGAAAGGACACAAATGCTATTTTTGTTTCCAAGTTTCGTACACATTTTGGAGGTGGGAAATCAACAGGATTTGGTTTGATTTATGATTCCGTTGAGAATGCCAAGAAGTATGAGCCAAAGTATAGGCTCATCAGGGTAAGTTATTCTCTTAAACTTTTAGCCTTTAGATTTTGTATGCCTGAGATTGGCTGCTCTGTAGTATGTTTCGTTTCATGTCTGCTTTAATGTTGTTGATGAACTCCTAAAAGAAAGATGCTTTTGTGGCTCCTTATGTTTTTCCTCTAATGTATACATCACTTAAATGAGTTTAGTGTACATGATAGACTTATGAATTCTAATTTGTTATAGTTGAAGCTTGAATTTGTTTGTTTGAGACAGCGGTAAGGAATCTAGTCGACTTGTATGAGAGGTTTAGGGGTAAAGTAACTATCTTCTAAAGGTTATAAAGATATTCCTAGAATGTATACAACACTTAAATGAGTTTACTGAACATAATAGACTTATGACTTCACTAACCTAAGGATCCACTCTGAGCTTGTCCATGTACAATGACCATTTTAACTTCTATTTCTCATCAACTATGTTGATTGATTGTTGCACTGTACTTCAATTCTTTTAAAACTGTCTACACATTATCTTTTTCTCTGGACACACTGCAAAAGCAGGAAAAGAAAACTTTCTAAAATCACTGGCAATATCAAATTGCTCTGTTATTTTGTTGATTCCAATTTTGGTTTGAAGTTTAAGTAGTTAAGTTGCTTCCATGTGAATTAAATATGATGTTGAAATCCTTCATATAGTGAAACCAATCAGATAGTTTTAAGGTAAGTCAATAGGGACAAATGATCTGAAGAGAACTACATCAATGTTTTGTCCAACTTGTAGAAAACTGAATATGAAGAAGGCAGATTTGGTTTATTAAGTTTTTCTCTATCTTGGATCATGTAACTGGGTGCATGTTCCTTTTTTCTAATAAAAGAGGAATGTGGCTTCTACAGCCTGCTAACATGCACAGAATCTTATGCTCTTGCATGTTATTGCAAGTCCTTGCTGCTACACCTTAGCTACTTGGATTCTTATAATTAGTTCAATGCTTTTGTATTGTAGAATGGGCTTGACACCAAGGTTGAGAAGTCTAGGAAACAAATGAAGGAAAGGAAGAACAGAGCCAAGAAGGTCCGCGGTGTAAAGAAGGTGCGTCATCATTACTGTTTTAGTTTCTTGCTATCTTTGTCTGTATTGTTGTGTTTTTCACCAAGTTGGTTTGTTATTTTTTGTTTGATGCAGACCAAGGCTGGTGATGCTAAGAAGAAATGAGTCTTGTGCAAACAAAAATCTCATTTTGGGATTCTTTGGGTGACCTTCGTATTTTTCTTTTGGCATTGTGTGAGCCATAACTTACTGTTGATTTTGTCTGACTTGAGGCAATTCAGTTTTGTTTTCCGTTAGGAATGTCTTGTGGAAAGGTTAAAGAGTACTTGAGAGTTGTCATTAGTTAGTGTTACTTGTTACTGTTATTCTAGTAGAGTTCTTATCTGCAGTGGAAGTTTGTTTTTATCAACTCTTTAAGTGTTAAAAGATATTTCAGTCCCTAATTTTCAGAAGGTTGTTTCTCCGGTAGGTGTGGCGAGTACAGTGTGGCTCTGGCCTTATGCAGTTAGTATAACTAATAATGCCTTAGAAATTATTTGTATCCTTTTACGAGTAGCAGAAATATTAGGGTTAGAATCTAGTGTGAATGCGCCCTCTTTTTTATAACTTTGATAGATATTCCATATGAAAGCTATATATGGGCCATTAAGTATACTATAGGACTTCTTGTTCGAGTAGGAATATTTTGGTTTTTTTCTGTAAGAATTGAGATTTGATATGTTACAAACTTGTTGTAGAATTTTTCCTCGTAAATTTTAGGCTTGATATATAATCTGTTCCTAAAATGTATCATGATATTTTATTTTTAATTGGACACTTCAACTGCTAATGAAGTGTTTTAATTAGATACTTTTTTAATCATAAGTATTTCTTGCAAGAAATCGTTAAACCCCATATATTTTTTACTTAAGGTTGCTGTGTATAATTAAATTAGAAAATGTATTATGTGATTAAATATTT